TGAGGCGTACACCTCAATTTGTTTGAGAAAAACTAATGTTGTTACGACTATTAAAAAGTTCGACTGTCGACTTAATTGACTAATATATTTTCTAAAGTCGACTAACGATCAAAGTCGACATTAACACATATTTGAAACCGACTAAGTTTACTAAAAGTCAATTTAGTCAAAATATGTGAAGAAAATATTTGAAATGATTGCAATTTAAATTTTTAATAAAGATTAATAAAATAATCCAGGGCCGGGTACCACAATTTTAGGACTGGAGCTGTAAATATAAGGAATTTTCTTAAAAATTAACCATCGGAAGCGAGAGTATACAAGGGTTTCTGCTGGGATGAAGATCCTCAGTCACACGGGTAAAGCCGCGAGTTTGGGGGCTAGACAGTTCCCCAAACAGGCAATAAAAGTCTTTACAATCACATTTACACTTTAATTATCGCAGAACCATATATTTACAGCTCCAGTAAATGAATAAAAGTCTTTTTGTTTTGCTCCAACAACATTTAAAAAATGTTGTTGGAGCAAAAACATCGATGCAATACGATGAGCTACTAGCAGTCCAAAAGCGAAGCTCGATGCAGCGCAGAAAACCAGAAGATGTTGCAAAATACCAGACGGAGAATTTTTCGCAGTGGAGGGTTTCGGGGGCCGGAATGGGACAATAGTGAAGAGCACTATTGTCCCATTCCGGCCCCCGAAACCCTCCACTGCAAAAAATTCTCCGTCTGGTATTCTGCAACATCTGCTGGTTAAATAAAGTTCACGTGCGACATACCTGGCCTTTTTAGGTTCATTTTAAATAAGGCGACGCCTCAGCGCTTCAGCGTCTCATGGAACCAATAAAGGCGAACGTTTTATTAATTTAAATGAGGCTAACGCCTTAATGCGAAAATTTAACGCCGAGCACTGAGGCGTACGCCTCACCGCTTTGAGGCGTAGTTTTTTTAAGCCATGATCACAATAGCATTGTTTTTTATATTATTTATTTTACAATGGCATTGTTATTATTTATTTAGTCAAAGAAAAAAAAAATATTCCAAGAAAAATCCCTCTGAGAAAAAATCCCCCAAGAAAAAATCCTCCAAGAAAAAAAAAAAAAAAAATTTTTAAATATTGTTTTCAACAGATAAAAATATTTATAGATTGCCTGCCCAAACTAAAACCCTCAGCCAATGTAGCGGCACTGCTTGCATGTTCTACCTATTTTTCAGTCGATGTATGTACACTCCTTGTATGTTTTACGTTTTTTTCAGTCAATATATGTACACTGATTTGTTAGTTACTTATTCATTTATAATCGATTTATGAAAAATGAAGGATTAAGTTTTTGCTTGTAACATATAATGTATGTATAAAATATCTATATTCTAAATAATTATTATTGATTTATCATTTATTTTATGCGCTGTAAAAGAAATCCTGGAGGATTTTTTCCTGCTCCCAAAAAAAATTTAGCAAGTGCTAGCAAATTTCAAACATTTTAGTTTGTGTTAAAACGTTTGTACTACTTTATTAACATTCTTTTAAAGTTTTAGCAAATTTTGCAATTTGAAGAACTTTGTTGTTAAACATTGTGCAATGAAACATTGTTGATACTTTATAAAAAATGGGGCATTTAAAAGGGTTTAAAAAGATTTTTAATTAATTCGGTAATAATAAAAATAATATCATTGCTTTTGCTCAAGCATTAATTCTATTATTATGCGTACGGTAGATGTCAATAAGGAAAAATCTTTATTTATTCAAAAAGTGCATAAATTGTTTGTGCGATGTGTAAAGATCTTTTAGTTTCTGATTCGTTTGTTTTATTCATATTTATCGTTCTTAAAAAAACTAATAATTTTTTATTGGTATTGTTTTTTAAAATGCATCAAAATTAACTTTTTTCAAAGCTTATTTATTTAAGAGAACAAAACAATAATAAAATAATAAAATATTAATAGAAATAATAAATTATTTTCAAAATATTCTATTTATAAAAAGAAAGAAAAAAAGTAGAAGAATGTCACGATCTTAAAGTTAGTTAAAAAACGGTTAGACGTTGTCATGACAATTAAACGCTGTCTAATTGTTATTATTTATGAAAGTAATTGATCTGCTTTCAAGATTTTAGTTACTAAACATTTAAAAAGTGGCAAGTATTTTATATATTGTTGAAACAAAACATAAGCTGGGATTTGATAGGAAAAGGTATGTCTGAAACCCTTAAAATCTGGAAATAAACTTCGTATCCTATCTTATACCCAACAAAAACTATATAACAACGGTGATAAAAATTTTATGATATGGGGTTAATTTTTTTAATATAAAGTTAGTCTCATTCACAAAATAAAAAGAACAATGAAGCAATGTTTTTTTTTTAAAAATATATATTTTGCCGTTTAAAAATAGTTACTATTTAGTTACTCATTAACTAATCAGTTTTATGTATATATTTATCTTTAATTACAATAGTTTACAAGACAGTGTAATAATGCTTTGTTACAATAACTAAACGTACTCGTGAAATACAACGCTACTAAGAAGAGAGTAAAGCGCGGTAATATATCCGCCAATACAGTTTAAACACAACTTGATACTATTGTCCGCTAGAGTGAGCGCGACAGTTACAACATATTTTACATTTTTTTTAATTAGCAGTAGTAGGACTTCTAGAAGCTCATGAGGAACTTGTGATGAAGCTCTTTACAAAAGTTAGTCAATTTTTGTCCTAGAGATAAGAACCTCAGAAATAAACAAAAATCTTTTTTTTTTGAAAAATAAGGGCAATGAGATTGTTAATAATATGAAGATTATACTTGTTTTTAGGTTTCAGACAATAAAGATTTTATAATACATTTAATGTCAAATTTCTCTACGTTTAATCATGAAACATAAAATTACTACATTTAATCATGAAGCATAAAATATTAAAAACATTTAATTAGTATACATCAGGGGCGGGTTTTGTCACGCGCCAAGGAGAGGGCTAAACGGTCTAAAAAAAAAAAAAGTTTCCCATTTTTTCATTTATCAAGTTCATATACGTATAATTTCGTATAATAGTCAATTTCATTCGTCAATATAATAGTCCAAGGGTGCATAATAGTCAATTTACAAAAGAATATTTGTGAAAAAAAGTCCCAAGGGAGGGGGCTACCACCCCAATGCCCCCTTCTCCCCCCAAAAAAAAAAAACTCGCCACTGGTATATAATTAAAACATTCATTTGTTTAAAAAGTTGTTTTGTGTGAAAAAAAAAACTTGTAAAATTTATTGCGCGAGCTGCTAAGAGATTTTAACTTTGTTCTAAAGGTGATTTTACACTCCGTTTTTCCGTTCCGTTTTTCTACGGGAAAGGGAAAGGGAACGGAAAAATAATCACGTGAGCATGCGCAGTTTCCTTAAGGACAAATAAAAACTTTTATTTCGCATGCTCACGTGATTATTTTTCTGTTTCCTTTCCCTTTCCCGTAGAAAAACGAATGAGTGGAAACTCACCTTAAGATTGCTTCTCCATTAAGTATTTGCGTAGTTTATATGACAATGCGTAAATGAATGATATAATTTTGTTAACCGGTGTTGGTATTTGGTATACACTTGGCATATTTCTTGCTTTATATTCCGATGCATTTAGCAACTTTAACGGAGATATTATTGTTATGATACCTTTATGTTTTTTTTTTCAATATATACTCCAAAAAACTTTGTAGCTTTTTTCTTTTTAAGATTACATTTTCAAGTAAATATTCTGGCATGATTTGGGACAGTTTTTGTTTTTTTAAAGGTGGATAGAAGAGTTTCCTTTCAGTTTTTTACTATGTTTAGAGGTATATTTAAATTCTAGAATGTTATTTAGGTTTATCTACTTATGTATGTAAATATAGATCCAATAATGGAATGGTCATCACAATAACCAGGTTTAAGGCTAATCAAAAATCTATGAATGATTGTAGATGAAAAAGTTTAAGATTAAACTATAAAACCAAATCAAATGAATTATGGGAAGTTTGATAGCACTCATAGTATTTAATTCTAGTTCAAACAGTTTGTAAGGCGGTAGGTTTAATTATCTAAAATATCTTTATTGAAAATACTGAAAATAAAAAAAAAGAATTATAATAATAAAAATAATAACTGAATAATACAAGTCAAACCATAGAGTTATTAAACTGAATTCATAACAAATTTAAGTAAATACAATAAATTAACTTAATATATTTTTATGTTTCTTTATTCAGAAAAAACAGACACTAGAAACAATGGAGATTGTTAATAGACTAGAAACTAATTTTAAACAATAGAGATTGTTAAAAAGTCATGACAAAAACTCAGTAAAATATTTTGAATAAAATATCTGTCTGTTTCTTTTCGACCACCACTGTACGTTGCAATCACAGTTAAAAACAAACTACACAAAAAATTAAAATTTATATTAATTCAAATATCATTTGAAACTGTTAGATTTATATTTCTGATTTATATTTATATCTGAAACTGTTAGATTTATATTTCTGAGGTAGATTAATTTTTACCATGCGAGAGACATCTTTTAAACTATGAAATAAATATAAAAATAGTCAAAATTTGATTCAGAATGATAAAAAAAGTTTTGAAGATTTAAAAACCATTTTAGTTTTTGAAAACGATGATGGTCATAGCTATTTATGATGGTCATAGCTAGTTATCTCTGTGTCAAAGTAAATTAAAAAAGGTCTAGCACTTTTAATTATTTTGTGGTTTTTGCCGAATTCAAAAAATAAAAAGATATGCATTTTACCAAACTTTAACGTCATACATTTTAAAAAAACTTAAAAATGTACATGATTCAAAAAAATATTTCATCTTGATTCGGTCATGCAAGCATCTCACAATGCTTTTGAAGATATAACTATTGTTTTTTTAAACTTACTTTTTTATATTACAATGATATTAGTTCTAAATCTATTTTAAGTTTTTAAATAAAATTAAAGTTAGTTTATTTTGAAAATTTTGTTTTCAATGTTTTAAAAATCTAACCTTTTCAGCCAAATGACTTCTTCAAATTTGCAATGAACCAACTCGTAGAAATTCCATATTACAAATACAATCATTAAAAAAAAAAGTATTTTTGCTGTCCTCAAAGATATTTGTCGAGGAATTTTTCTTTTTTTTGTCAAAGGATAATCTCCACATATGAAAATGTGCCTTTCTCTATAAACAAAACAATTTAATAAAGAAATAGAAGGTTACTTATGGGAAGAATGTTTACATTTCACACTATATACAGAGTGGTACAAAAAAAAAAAAAAACTACACAAACAATTTTTCTTGATTTTAAGTATATAATGGATAATGAGGCAAAACTAAAAAAAATTGGATGTGGTAGTAAAAATTCTAGGGCAGAAATAGTATGCTTATATATACACTATAAACAACTAACAGATATAGAAGTTGAACGAATTATTAAAGCTGCTGACCAAGGAGATCTCACAGAAGCAAAGGAAAGCGTTTTAAACGACGAAACTCAACTATTAGTAGATTGGTGAAGAAAAATAAATACACTGGTACAGCTGGAAGGTTTGGTAGATCTGGGAGAAAGCCAAAAACTTAAAAAAAGAAAGATATATTTCTGAAGCTGTTAAAAAAGATCATAAAACTACATGTTCTGAGATAAAACTAGATTTGAACCTTACTAATATCTCAAAATGGATTATATCTCATCGAATAAAAGCATCATGTGTGGTTTTTGCTCGAAAGCAAATAAAAAAACTCTTTGTCTGTGAAATCAATTGCAAAAAAAAGAATAAAGTACTGCATTGAGCACAAAAATGTGATTAAGACATTAGACATGTGAGCAATAAGCTAAAGTTATTTGGAGTGATGAGTCTCCTTTTTTGTTGTTTTATAATGTTCGATGTCACTGCTTGAAATTAATTGGGAAAAGGTTCAACCCTTAAACATGCAAAGCAACCATTAAACATGATAAAAAGATTAGTGTTAGGGGTTATTTTAGTGCACACAATGCAGGATAGCTTTACAAGGTGGAGTGTACCATGGACCAACATTTGTATCACAAAGTCTTAGTTAATCAACTTTGACTAAGTACAGAAGAAATTTTCTCTAATAATGACTACATCTTTCAATAAAATAACAATTCCAAACATATGTTACGGTTAAATAAAAGATATCTGGAATCAAAATTGATCTTAGTTATAGTTGGCTAGCTTAGTCTCTTGATTAAAATCCAATAGAAAATCTTCGGTCTATAATGTATAGAAAATTGCAAGATTGTAGGGTTTGTTCCTAACTATTCTTGCAGGGTAGAATGGTTTTCCAAATAACTTATTAAAAAGACTTGTATATAATATGCCTTATAGATGCACAGAAGTCATAAGAAACAAATAATATGCCACAGAAGTCATAAGAAACAAATAATATGCCACAGAAGTCATAAGAACAAAAGATTGCCATTTAAGTATAAGTCAGCTAAAAAAAAAAATACTTATTTCTTTAATTTCTCTGAAAAATCCTAATTTCTTTTCATTATATGTAATGTACAATAATATATTTGTAAAATAAAATCTTATTTTACAACAATATTATTGTATGATGTCTTGAACTCGGAAATAAAATCCAGGACGATTTTTATAGAAATTTATATATTTCTATAAAAATTGTCCTGGATTTTATTATACGAGTTTAAGACATATTTTGTTTTGTTTTTTTATCAAAAAATTGAGGGTGACTTATTTTTTCATCCCATGTATATATTTTTTTACATTTGTTAGTTTGGCTCGTTTCGAGCACGAAGGCACAATAAATAATTTTCATGTTAATAATTTTGTCAAGTTACAAAGATACCTGATACTTTTCTATTGTTTTTAAGAGATAAGTCAATTGCGGTCATAATATGTCGTAATATTGTCTCATATTAATACATTGAACTAAAAATTTTTTTGTAGCATTTTCAATTTTTTTTGTTTGTTTTGTTTTCAAAGTGTTCCAAAATGATTTTTTAAAAAATCACTTTGAAAAAAGTATACTTATTTATGAGATTGTTTTTTATATGGCGTCGTTTTGCTTGTTTATTTGTTTGTTTTTGTTTCGAATTTTAATGTTGTTAAAAACCTTTACCTTACGTGAAAATTTTTTTTTGTAAAATTGCGGGCTTAATGAAGAGAATGCAGTCTTCTGCTTGCTCTTGTCTTAGACTTTTTTTTATAAATGTATACATATAAATAAACTTATATTTATATACATCTATATGTAAAATGTTTATGTAGTGAAAAAATGAAATATTAAAAAAAGAAAAGCATTTAATGAAGAAAATTCTGCAATAACCCTAGCCGATTTTACTTTTATTGCCAAAGCAAGCATCGAATCTCTGATCTTTTGTATTCTGAAGGTCATGGCTTCTTATCAAGTTTGAAAGTCATCCGAAAAGTTAAAGTAATATATCAAATCAAAAATTTTTCAAGTCTTTTCGCTTTTTTTTATTATTAGGGAAATCAAAAACTTTGTATGATCATATGTTTTGAAAATTTTAATACTGTTTTTAGAAAACATAGTTTTAGTGGATTTGCAAAGGACCTATATAAGCATTTTTGAACGGTTCATTGGAGCTTTGCACATCGATTACTTAATGGACCATTAATATCAGCCGCAATAAATAGCCAACAGATATTTTCCCGACATATTAATTGTGTCTAGTTATTGGCTAGCCATTTTTGGAGACTGCCACTCATGGTCCGCTAAGTGACCGATGAGCAAAGCTACAGTATACCGCTCAATATGCCTATACAGGTCAACTAAAATTCCGCAATAGAATTTGCTGGGATTTTACGAATAAAAATTTTCAGACGTATTTAAATCTAGTCTATGATAATACAATTTTATCTTTTTTCCTAGGTTTAAATTTAAGAGCTTTTCAGGCAATTTTAAACTTAAGTATGATGCAGGTTTATTTGTGTTTGGTAACTACAACAAGTTAAGTATAAGTATTTGCAACAAGCTAAACCCAAAACATGCAACTTTAATAGATTTAAATGGTTGTTATTTGTTATTTAGTTGTTATTTATTTCATCTTGTTGTTAATTTGTTATTTATTTCATCTTGTTATTCATTTGTTATTTATTTTATCTTGACAAAATTTAAACATTTTCTTAAAATAATCATGAAATGTTTTTGAAATAATATTTTTTACTGAAATGACATGACAAAGTTTAACTTTTGCATTAAAAATATTTGTTTAGATTTAGCCTAGTATCTACTTAAATAAAGTCTACTTAAATTTGCTTTGGATAGTGGGGTCCTAATTTAGTGAAAGTTCCTGTGCGATGGTGCACCAAGCTAATGGTTTAATCCGGGCCTGACACTGACCACTATGCAGTCTTGGATTTATAGAAAAAATTTCTATTTTTTTCTAATAAGTTGATGCAAAAAAGGTCCAAAAAAATTAAAAGCAAAACAAAACAAAACAAAAAAAAAAATATTTGACTCGTGATTATTAAACTATTTTTATTGCATACTTTGGTGATTAAAGTAATTTTCAAGTACTTACAAATAAGGCTAAAAACAAAAATTGAGAGAAAAAAACAACAGCAACAAAAAAAGTGTGAAAAAAATGTATAAAGAAAAAAGTGAGAAAAAATGTTTATTTTATTTCATAATTCAGACAAATAAACATTCAACTTTTGGCTATATTTTGGTGCACCAAATGTGGGAAAAGATAACTTTAAAAAAATAGCAGAAGTTTCTAGTTATTTATTTTTATTATTGTTATGAATTTCACCATAAAGAAAAAAAAAAAGGTTTTTGGTTTTTTATTATAATATGTAAATATCTAAAGAAGACAAATCCAGTTTTAACGCCACGCCCCTTTAAAATATAAATATAAATAAAAAATTACGTTACGCCGTTAAATTACTCTTTTTCTTTCATCAAAATGTAACATATGCAAAAAATACATATACAGATACCAATATAAAAGAGTTTTATTGTTATAATTATTATAATGATTACTATTATTTTTTTATTTTTATTCATTAAAATCTCTAATTTCAAATAAATAAAGAGAGAAAAACAGAAGAAGGGAAATTTGGAGCTAATTTTATAAACAATATTTATATATTATAATGAATAATTCATTTAAAATAAAATCTTTTAGAAACTCTGTTGTACAAAACATAAAATTATTGATTAAAAATTAAATATATAATATATAAGAGTTTTATTTATAATAAATAAATATAAGAATGAACTTAAAAAAAATTATAAGAAATAAATTTTTTAGAAACTCTCTAATACAAATCAAAATATAATATAATAAAAGATGACATAATATACAAGAATAATATAGAAACTCACTTATTTACTTATTTCTAAACACATATTTTGTAAAACATGTTTTTGTTACAATTGTTTATACTTCAGACTTATAAATATTCTGATCATGATCAAAAAAAAAAAAAAAAAAAAAAAAAATTGTTTACTCATTTATAAAAGTTTTAGTCTAATTCGCTGTCAATTAGTTTAAGTTTACTTTTAGTTCAGGTGACAAAATAATGTTTATTCAAGTTGGGGTGACAGCTGGGATCGTTAGATTAGTCAATTAAATATTTATAAAACATGGATGACTTAATATCTTCAACATGTTTGTTCAATAGGCGCTAAATTAGCCTATCGAACAAACATGTTGAAACGAGATAATTAGACGCAAAGTATAAAAGTTCTTAACATAAGCCTATAAACCAAAAAAACTAAAAGTAATTGCACTTCGAGATATGGAGCAAAATCAAAACATTTGTACGTTATACTAATGTCAAGAAATGACACTGCATAAAATTGCAATTATTGGAGGCTGTGAACAAATAAGCCCCAAAATTTTATCACCTCCCCCACCCATCCACTCTAAACGTGAGGGCAACAAATTGATATTTTTTGTACTATTCTCAACTAAACTTATATTCATCGATAAATTTTAGATTTCATAGTATTATTTCTTAGTGTTCAAAAATTATGACCATATAAAGTTTAACCCTTCCTCAATTTGAGGGGTTTACAAATTTTATATGTTCAAGATTTTTGAACGCTGAGACATAATACTATGGAAGGTTATTGATGCAAATAACTCTAGTTGAATATAGTACAAAAAATATTTTAGTACTGTTTTTTATAACCCTCACGTTTAGGTTGAGGGGGTAGGATTTTAGGCTTAATTGTTTGCACCCTCCAAATCCTTATTTGAAACCATCCTCCTTTATAAAAATTTATATAAATTTTCACAATAACATTAAAAGTGATTTTTAAAAAAAATTTTAACAAGGTTTAAATAATTAAAACCGTTCTTTATCCATCTTCTTCAGTAAATTTGGTTGTAAATTTTAATCTATATATGAGAGCGTAATTCAAAGTAGATAACATGTACGGCCTAGCGTTTTTCTGCTTGTGTAAAGGTAAGTGTTAAAATAAAATGTTGCGTATTTTAAGGTGTTTTTTTTAAAAGTAGAAAGAAAAAGTAGTAGAAAGTTCCTTGCAATTTTAAGATAAACTAAAAATCTATCTGAGAGGAAAAATGTTGCCAACCAGATCCTATACTAAATTGTTGCTAGACGTTTTAAAATTTGTTAAAAGTGTTACGTGTTGTTACTTAACATTTTGCACGTAGCCTTACGTTATAAAGTGACAAATTGTTATGTTACAACGTTACGTCTCGGTTACGTAAAAATAACAGACATTTTGCACGTAACATTACCTTACAGTGTTATGTATTGTTACGTAAAATATTAAGTCTCGGTTACGTAAAAATAACGGACATTTTGCACGTAACGTAACGAATCTCATTTACGTTACAATACGTAACGTAACTTTAAAATGTTATAAGGGAATTGTTTGACTTCATCAATGATAAATAACTCGTGGATCAGCAATAAACATATTTCACTATTTCTTATTAACATAAAAAAATTTCACATTTTTATAATAGACTAAATAAAAATACCAACAGACGGTGCTGTTTAATTTAGTCTTTATAATTATAAAAACTTTTTCATTGAACAATTTCTATCCACTTCATTAAAAAATGTTTTATAAATGGAAAATAGATACTTAACAGAATTTCTGTCTTTGCTACACAAATTCTGTTTTGCTACAGGTTCTCACTTGATGACTTTTAGTCACTACGTAATACCTCCTTGTTAATAAAATATTTTTACGTAAGTAGCCGAAATTTATAACAAATTATCAGGGATATGTATAGATTTAATTTAAAACATGACAAATTAACTTTTGGTTAAGTCGATGTATCATTTTATTTAACTCCTAGTCCAATTTAAGTTGATACGCTGCGAAATGTTTTTTTTCAAAAATTTATGAGCTTGTGAGGCAAAACCCGTTAAAAACATGGGTTTTTTAGCAAAGCATTTCTTTTTCAAAATAAAATGTTTCCATATTATAGTCAACTTGGCTCAGCTACGATTTTGAATATTATAACAAATAATAATTATATATTGAGTACTGAAATAGATTATAATAAATAAAAATTATATATTGAAAATTATAATAAATAATAATATTATAATAAATTTTTGAAGCGCCGCATTTTGACTACTTATAACCTATATATCTTATTTACAGGAGCGGATTTATATCATTTGAAGGAGCGGATCCAGACTGTAGCAACTGCTTCACTTGCTACAGCCTGGATCCGTTCCTGCAAGCATTAACTTATTAATGGTTTATTCGGCAAGTAAAACCCTATTTTTAAAACAGTAGTAATTTTTAGTTACCAAAAATATAATTAAGTAAACTTAAATATTTTTTTCAATTATTTTTAAAGACTTTAGTTTAGTTATATAAATTTGTATTTGACTTCAGTTGAAATATTACAAAAAAAAAAAAAAAAAAACTTTAATGATTTTTTATGCGTCCCTTGATTTTTTTAGTAACAACTCAGAAAATATATATATATATATATATATATATATATATATATATATATATATATATATATATATATATATATATATATATATATATATATATATATATATATATATATATATATATATATATATATATATATATATATATATATATATTTCAATTTTCCAGAAACTACACAACGTCGCATTGCCCAAACAATGTTTTTTTCCTATATCTTTAACCGATAAAATCGTTTATGCTGACATCAAAATAAATCTCGCAAAAAATATTTAATTTGATAGGCATTGAGCTCAGCATATCAACTTTTCCTTAATGATGATACTTCTTTGATCACCTATAATTAGTTTTAGTTTTTAAAACAAGCGCTCCGCAGTACAATTCGTAACCAGTGCTTAAAAAAATGCAAAGAGCTGTTTCGACGTTCGGAAAATCAGAATCTAAAATTTGTAAAATTCAGAATCAGAGAATGAACTTTTAGTGAAAATTTTGATTTAATGTACTTATGAAATTGCCTCGACTTCGTATAAAAGCCTCGACTTTTATAATCAAATTAAAAACCATTTGAAAGCCATTTTTTAAAAGTTCAAAGTTATCCAAAAAAAAAAACAACCTCTAAGAAAGTTTCAGCAAATTTCATTCTTCGGTATACTGCAGAGATATTAGCGGCATTGTTGTAATCTCTAATTTACAAAACTTTAGTGATCTCGATAGTTAAAAATTTTTGTCCAAAAATTTTAAAGCCTGTTTTGCAATGACTGCATCAACGTGACTATTCATTACAAAATTTTTTTCAAAAAAAAAAGTGCTCTTCAAACCAACACTGTTTATATTAATGAACATTTCAAAATGGTTAAAACTAGTTAAAACATGTATTATGTAACAATCAAATTCAATTTTTAAATTTTTAAATATAAATAGAATAGAAAATAAAACTTTAAAATGTATGGCGCATTGGTTAATCCAGCACTTTCTTTACCGTTATGATAATATAAAATACATTTGAAGTATTTAAAAAAAAAAGCATTAAACTTTATGAGTTGCTTATTTTTCTAAAAATTTTATTTTGCTGATTGCAAATATAATTACAATATAAAATTATATAACATTAAAGTAATATTTATAGCTTACAAACATTAGGAGTTATGTTATCTTTATTAATTAACTACACACCAGACGTCCTCTTTTTTATAGGAAGACAGAGTAGAAAAAATTTATTTAATCAAACCATTGCTTACTCGTTTTATTAAAAAAAGGACATTTGCTAAACTAACTTAAAGCATAATGAAAAAATAAAAAAAACCTTAATTTTTGATCTAAATACTTTCGTTTAATTTTCATTTTTCGTTTTTCATTTTTTAAATATAAGACCTGCTATATGTTTTAGATTAAATAGTTTTACCTTTCTGACGACTTATGGGTATAGTGATGGTACGACATTCCCTAAATAAATAATTAAAAACTTTTATAATTTTTATTATTATTTCTTTAATTTAAGATACCAACAAATAAGTAATCACATATTAACAACTGTTAAAGTTAAAATTATTTACAACTTTATGTTATAACAAGTTAAAGTTATAACATAAAGCTAGTTATTTATAATTGTTAACGGTTAATCATTTAAAAGGCATTTTTTAAAGTCCAATGAATTAGAAAAAATGGACTAAACAAGAAGTTTAGTCCATTTTTCTAATTCATTGGACTTTAAAATAATTCATTGCAATTAATTTTTTCTACATTCGGATTCTTTATCTAACTATACCAGTATCAGTATAAAAAATGATCTTAACGGTAACAAAATTATTAAAAAAAAAAAAACTTTGCCAGATTATTTTTTATTTTTTCTGTGTACTTTTAATTATATTAAAAATAATTAAATATACTTAATAAAGATATTATAGGAATTTGCATTATTTAAATTATTTATGACATTATTGTTCGTTTAATGCTAAATTTTTATTACATAAAAGTTTTAAAAATTGTTTTCGCAAAATCAAAATCGCAAAATTTATGTTTTGTAAATATGTTGAGTAAGTTCTATAATTTCTTTTTATGTTATCCATTTCTACGAATTTTTGACTGCCAAATATTTTAGTCATTTTATATCGTAGACATAATCTTGTCATTTAGTATAATTGTTATTCCAGTGAAAAGTCATAAATATATCATATATATAGGATAGATTAGGGTAAAATGAGCACCTTGGTAATCTGAGCTTACTAAATGATTTTTTAGATGTAAGCAGTGGCGTTGCTTTGTATTTTTCTAATCGACTTTATGTGGTGATAATAGGAATCAGTACAAATAGCGTTTATTTTTATGCAGTAATTAGCGGATATTATCTAATTAAAACGCTGTAAATTTTTTTGCGTTGTTAAAATAATCACATCACGCATGAATAAAACGGTGGCGCGAAATTTTGGTGCTAAGATAATAAAATTAATTTTTTCATAAAAAAAAAATATGTTAGCAAAAAATCCAAACCATTTTAATTTAAAAAACAATGGATAGAAACATTTATTTTGACTTTATCTAAAGTTGCGACTTTTGTGTAATATGAACATGCTCAAATTACCCAGTGTTTTTCATTGAAATTACCTAGTTTAAAGTCCTAAAATGGCGGTGGTTTTATTTTATTTTTAAATAAAAATAAAACATAGTGAAAAAAATTTAATTTTTAAACAATACTAATTATTTTTTTGTAATCTAAGTTCAAAAAATTTGAATTTTTATCGTTCTAACGTTTGTGTTAATAAAATTGAAAGAATAACGAACTAATTTTTTTTTGTCGTAGAAAACATAGTGGTATTGTTTCCACAAAAAGTAGCTTAAAATTTGTTCTTTTTATGTTAAATTTTGTTAATAACGAATTGTTATACTCTAAAAATTAGTTCTAATTAATTAAGTAAACTTAAAAATATTTTTCAATTATTTTTAAAGACTTTAGTTTAGTTGAATAAATTTGTATATGACTTCAGTTAAAATATTACAAAAAAAAAAAAATGTTTTTTTTTTGTAATTTTTTAATAACAAAATATATTTTTTTTGTAATATATTTTTTTGTAATTTTAAAAAAGTAACAAATATGCTTATATTACCCAGGCCAAGTGGCTTGGGTAATATGAGCACTTTTGCTACTTTTTTAAAATCTCTGTGTTTTTAAGAAAATATTTCGGGTACCCAAATATCTAAGTGGATCATGAGTAGGGATCCCTGAAAATTGTTTATACCTAAAAATTTTGGCTGCAGCAAAATTATTTTTGAAAATATTCCAATTTTTGTTTAAGGTGATCTTAATACCCTAATCTACCCTATATATATATATATATATATATATATATATATATATATATATATATATATATATATTATATATATATATATATATATATATATATATATATATACATGTATATATATATATAGATATATATATATATATATATATATATATATATATATATACATGTATATATATATATATATATATATATATATATATATATATATATATATATATATATATATATATATATATATATATATACATGTATATATATATATACATATATATATATATATATATACATATATATATATATATATATATATATATATATATATATATATATATATATATATATATATATATATATATATACATATATATATATATATATATATATATATATATATATATATATATATATATATATATATATATATATATATATATATATATATATATATATATATGGTGAAAACTAGATAATCATAATACTCGATTTATTTCAAACATAACTAAGAGTTTTATGCAAACTTACGATCATCTGCCAATTCCACTGAGCTTTCTAAATTTGTGTGGAATATTAAAAAGGATGGTTTAAACCCTGTCTTTTTGTGGAAAATTTTAAATTAAATTGAACTATTTAAACTTTGTGCAAATCGTGTAATTTATGTTTGATGGAGAAATATGATTAATTTTATCGCAATTGCCTTTGTTAAACAAACAAAATGAACTTGCCCCTGAGTGTTATCATGAAAATAAGTACACGATAAATAACTTAAATGTCATCAAATAGGAAACTCCAGAGTATTTGTAATATATTTTTTTCGTCTTTATTTTTAAGATTTAATATTATCTGATGATCGCAAGTTTGCGTGAAAGTTATGTTTGAAATAAATGATATGGGATGATTATTAATAAACAAAAAGATTTTCAATACAAACATATTAAATTAAACTAAACTATTCATTTAAAGTTCGAAAAAATTTATAATTTTTTAGGTGAGTTTTTGTTGTGCAAATGTATTTGAATTTAAAATGTTTTTTAAATATTAAAACTTTTACTTCATTAAAGTTCATATCTATAGTAAGTGCAGTTTCAATAGAATTTTGAACCTATTAAGACAATGATACGTCATTCCCGACCTTAAATAAGATTTAACTAATGCTGAAAATGATCTTTAGGATAATTGGACGTTAGAAAACATAAATATATCTTTAATGCTATATTTACTTAAGTAAATAGTTTTTGAAGTTTATCAGTTCTTATCATTTTACAAATATCTATTATAGTTTTAGGTCGTATGTTTTTATATTAGAAATTTTAATTAATTTCTGTCTGGTGTAATTAACTTTTCTTATACTGGATTTTCAGACACTTGTGTTAATTAATGTAATTAGTATAATTAATTAAGATAATTAGTATAATTAATAAACTCATTAAATAACATCTGAATTGTATACACTCGTAAGCAAAAGAAGACGAAAGATTATTTTTATGAAGTATTTTGAAGTATTTCTGCTATATTGTGAACTTTTAATGGTAATAGTTTTATTATTTGAATTAAAAACATTTTGTTGGCTACATCATAGCTCTAATATATATCGAATTATCATAGATCTAATACATATCGGATAAACAATTCGTATAAATTGTTTTTAAACCGTATTTGTTTGTTTTTAAATCGTTAACTTTTTTAAAATCGTATTAATTCGTATACAACTGTTTTTAAATCTCAATTGGCTGCAATTGTTCACTAGCTTTGTTAAACTTTTCTAGTATATCACCCCATAATGATATACTAGAATCTTTCTAGTATATTACCCCATTATAACTGTTTAAGGACTAATTTTAAGTATAGTCCATTAGCTTCTGAGCTTGTGATTGACGTTTCTAATTTATTATCTTTAATGAAAGACAGTACATTAATTATTTCATTCCGAATTTTTGTTTAAACTAATACTTTCATCAGATCTTTCTGACCACCTGGTATCTGATAGTTTTTAAAGTGATACATTTTTAGTTTTAATTAAATTGTTCTGAAGTATTTCACATCTATTTGTAAAAGCACTAAAAAACTTATAGATATTAAAAAATTAACCTCTTTAATGTGAGCTTGAAGTCCTGTATATCTACTAAACATGTTTGACACATTGTCGTAACTTTAATTCTAAAACTGAAAATGCAGCATCTGCTAATTCTTCAGATTTATGACTAGAGTTGGATAAAAAGCCTTTATACCGGACAGCCATACTTTTAACATACGCAAAAATGAAAGACGGTTGATCTACATGGCTTATGTCGGAGGAGAATCAATACTGATGGAAAAATATTTAGTTGCCTTTTTTTTACCATTGGTTGTATATCATTAGCTGCCAATTTACCTCTGAACTGCTTATTTATATTAAAAGAAAGGTATATCAACAAGACGTTGAACATTTTTCTAAAATTTACTAAACTTCTCACTTTAATGTGCTAAAAAAAATCAAACTGAGAAACGTAACCATTTTTTTTAAAAAAAAAAAATACGTGGGTATACTTGCAGGCAGAAAAAACCAAATAGTTAGGAACTTTACCGCAAAAAACTTGGAGAGATTTATTAAGTGAGTCGGTCTATCATTTGGACATGATAGTAATATAAAAAGTTTCGTGATGATGACATTAAATTACTAATTTACAATTTTCGAAGATTCAAAATATCTGACGGCTGGCGCCCTATCAAAATTTGACGCCTGGGGACAAAGCCTTTCATTTGGCTTCCCTATGCATAAAGCTTTTACATAAATTTTACTTTATATAAATATTTCTTTTCTTATAGTATAAAACAAACACAATAAAATAAATAATAATAAAAGGTCTTTAGTAAAGCAAAATTTTGTAACATTATAAGTTAAAGAAATAAACAATAAAAACAAAAACGAAATCATGTAATGGCTAAAATGTTATTATAAAAATGATTATTTACTCAGACTTTAATGTAAATTTAAAGAATTTAAAAACCACCATCCTGGTTTCTCAAATAAATCATTAACATTTATATTTTTTTATGCTTTAACACTCCTAACATCAATTGGGTTAGGGGCAGATTCAGACCATAAAGAAAAAAAGACATTTTTAGATTCTTTTGATTCGGTGGATCAAAAAAATTTAAGTG